GAACTATTTCAAATAACAAGGAGATTCGTTTTAGCGAAAAAAAAATTTTGGGGTTAGGTGCACTTTAAATAAGACAACGACCGACTGAGCTTAAACTGGGGCCAGAATAAAGTGGCCGTAATAACGAGGTGACCAGGCCGTAATAAGGAGGTGACCCGGCCGTATTAACGAGGCGACCGTATCAAACGGGGTGACCCTGAGGCGAGGGTTCCATTGTAGATATTATGCCTAATCTGTTTTATGACAACTTGATAGGAAATCAGTCGTGACTGAAAAAAGGACTTGTTTGAAGATTATCATGACATGAATGTAGACAAGCCTATATGGGTTATCCCTTTCTAATGTCTGGTCCGAGTCACTATATCCTTTGGTTTTTGAAGGGCCCAGGACCCGACAGGGTAACCATAGAGGTCCGAAGCTTATGTGTCGACGACCTCTTTTCTTCAAAACCTTTCTTAGAGACTCTGTTACGCCTTTATTGGGAGCAGTTAATTGTGTTTCAAAAAGTCAAAGTAGCATTATTTTTTATTAAAATCGCTCTAACAAACCACGCATGAGTATTACTGACAGAGACGCCTTTACATGGTCAGCTCAACCCTTTGAGCCCAGTTACGTATATACGCGTAATTAATGGTCGTGCTCTTTGTACCACTTGTGACGTCATCAATTTAAATGTTGTAAGATATTTTTGATAAGCAGTAGAGCTAGGATGGACCTTTCCGTACAAAGGTCGATTTTGGACATCGACGACATTCTGACGTAGCAAATTGAACAACAACGTTATCAGTTTCGGTGCAAAAATGATGTTAAAATGATCTACTACCGTAAATCCTCGAATTAGCGCCCTCCCCGTCTTATCCAAAATTTGAAATAAGCGCCCCGGGCGCTAATTCCAAGATTTACGGTATGCCTATAATTGATAAAGGTCCATTTCTAGGCTTTGCCTATAATTAACACCCAACTTTTTACGGCAGCCAGAAAGAATATGCGCCGCAAAAGGTAGCGAGAGTAAAGGGACCGAGGAAAAGGAAAGGAAAGGAAAGGGCCAAGAAAAAAATTGAGAACGGGCAATGGCCAAAAAAAAAAAAAGGAAGTCCAAATTGTGGCTTATATGCATGCACCGAATTGAAATATTGTACAATTTTGTACCTAATCTTCGGGAAATCTATCTTTTTAATTTTGGTAAAACATAGTTTTTTTTTAGCAGGACTTTGGCCCATTTAGCGTCACGGCGGCCAAACAAGCTGATTAAACGGTTGAAAACGGTATTTTTGGGTGACAATCTGGTCCCCAAAGGGTTAATTGTGGATGCTCCACCGAAGGAGACTCTATCCGGCAGAACTA